ATTATTATGCTACCCTCACCGCCGCCACCACCACCATCACCGCCACTATCACCACCGCCACCACCACCAGCATCGCCAAAACAACAACGACAAAGGACAAACACGAAGGAAAAACCAGAAAAAATCTTCTTTCAACTACAACCTCATTCCACCAGCTACTATTCACGTTAGTACTCATCTCTATGATCTCTTATGGTTTATAATGATTTATATTACAATTACATAAACAAAATAGTTTATCAAGGTAGTATTTAAGTTTTCTATGGTTATGCGTTATAGAAAATAATAATTGCTTTGAAGGGAGTAACTCGTATATTGTATGTTTCATTTAAAACTCGCGAGAATATCAGTGTTTGTGCATAGAATATTAAGTCTGTTAATCCTGGAGCATATAGCTAACACCACAAGAGGTTGTTAGATTTTGTTAATTTTTTCCACAGATGTTCTTTGGATGACAGTAAGTAATAAAAACGATAAAACAATGCGCAGAGCCGAACAGAACCTGACCTAACCAACCAAAGAAACTACCTACCCTTACTTAACTTCTTAGCTAAGCCCCCCAGACCCCTGCCATATTAAACAGAAAGTACTTATTTTGATATCTGGTGCCAATGAAAGCAAGCTTATTGAAGCATCAAGGTGTAATTTTATGTTTTTCTGTGACGTGAAAGAACGAGGAGCAAACGAAAACATGGTCCGAACCCCGTCACGGCAGATTTATTGGAATATTTACGGTAAATATTTAATTTATTTACATACAAAGCAAGTAGAGGCATCCTTTTAGCGTCCTATGATCAGTTTTTCAACGTGTTTTGCCTACACACACACACACACACACCATTTACAAATTAATTCCTCGTATTTGGACTATCACGCATGACTTCCCATTAACAATATTAAAAAAGTTAGAGAGTGAGAGAATTGAACATGACTTAGCACAGCAATCACAACTCATCAGAAATATGTCCCTTTATGACTACATGACCGTGATGAAAGTAAACACCACAACTTAATCTTGATCAAATGTAATTGGAAAACTTCGAAGAGCCGCAGTGAAGTTTTCGTCACGGGTTAGATTAAATTCCTGATATAAATTTCGTAAATATTTGATGGATTAATAAAAGCATCAGGAATATTACTCGCTACTGGATATTGTTACTTTTACGACTATTATTTTAGATTTTGTTTATTTTAATTATTTTTTTTCTCTTGGTTCATATACGGATTTGAATTATTTATCGTGTTACCTGAGTGTACACAATAATTCGTCAGTTTTATATTGCCTTAGTCATGTCATCAACTAGTCATGTCATCAACCAGTCAAGTCATCAACCAGTCATGTCATCAACAAGTCATGTCATCAACAAGTCATGTCATCAGCCAGTCATGTCATTAGCATAGTCATGTCATCAACCAGTCAAGTCATCAACCGGTCATGTCATCAACCAGTCATGTTATCAACAAGTCATGTCATCAGCCACACACTATCTGGGAGGTTAGGTTAAGGTAAGTTTAGAGTTAGGTTTGGTTAGGTTAGGTTTAGCAAATGGTTTAGCCTTAGGGTATTTAATCATCAGGTGAAGCAAGTTGGGATGTCTAAGCTTCAGGTGATCCACTGATTGTATAAATAGCCCATGTGAGTTGGGTGTATTTATAATTTTTTTCACAACAACTTGTTAGGGTATTTGAGGTGAATCACGTTAAGATACTGTGGAGATATATGAAGTTAGAAGTATAAAATGTAAGTAACGGTGTTGACAACTTCAGTCAATCAGCAGTAACTTAGAAAATATAATTGAGTAAATGAAATATATTTTAGACAGTGAACATAAACAATATATATATATATAAATAAATAAATAAATAAATAAATAAATAAATAAATAAATAAATAAATAAATAAATAAATAAATAAATAAATAAATAAATAAATAAATAAATAAATAAATAAATAAATAAATAAATAAATAAATAAATAAATAAATAAATAAATAAATAAATAAATAAATAAATAAATAAATAAATAAATAAATAAATAAATAAATAAATAAATAAATAAATAAATAAATAAATAAATAAATAAATAAATAAATAAATAAATAAATAAATAAATAAATAAATAAATAAATAAATAAATAAATAAATAAATAAAAATAAATAAATAAATAAATAAATAAATAAATAAATAAATAAATAAATAATAAATATATATATATATATATATATATATATATATATATATATATATATATATATATATATATATATATATATATATATATATATATATAATTAAGAAGATTTGTGACCAGGTGAGAAGGTTGGGGCAGCTTACCCTCTGACCTGATTACCGACCGCTGCGGTGCTTTTGTGAAGATAAGTAGGGTCATTACCTATACCGGACTACTGTGGACTTAATGTCACCCTCCTCTGTATATATATAACTTGTTCTGTACTTCTTCTTAGTCTGTACTCACCCCTGAAGATGTGAAATACACGAAAGTGCTTGGGAACTTCGTGTTTTCTTTTTTTCCTTGTGGTTATCAGCACACACACACACACACACACACATATATATATATATAGTTGTAATTGTTAGTATAAAAAAATAAAATGCCAACAGCAAACGAATCAATTATGTAAATATTCTCTCTCTCTTTTATTCACTCGTATCATGAGGGTGACTCCCGCCGTCACCCTTGTCATCCACTTCTGGGGTTTACAAAAAGTTATAAATGTTAATACAATAATTATTTTTACATCAATTAAATAGTTCATTTTGGCATGAATACTGTACTACATTAAAAAGCAGATAATGTAACCCTACACAAAATTAATGTCATATACTTGGAGCAAAATATTTATAAATTGCGAGTTACTTTAATTTTTCCATTATTAATCATCCAACAAACTTGTTTCTTTAAAGAAGTGATCTCACTGTTCCTGTATGGTTGGACTTTTTCACATCCTAATACATAATGTTGTAGTATATGGGCATCCCTAAGATGACACACTTGACCCGCCCCTCCAGTAATATTTGTATCCCAATCTTAGTCTCATTATAACAGTATCAACAGATGGTAAGTTAGTCCCATAAGTTACATTGGTGTTTTGTAAAACATACAAATAGTGCTGAAAACTCTCGCTACATATGGCAATCACTTCTTTTCTTGCTTTTTTCCCATTCCTCTCTTTTTCTTTTCATTTCCCTCTTTATCGTTCTAATACTTCCATTGCTAACAGTATCTATTTACATCTTTTCTGCAGCTTTTTTGACCAATTTGTCAGCCATTCCATTTAAATTAATCCCCACATGTGATGGAATCCATACAAGCTGCACAGTACACTCCATTTCTTGCATTACTAGACCAGTCGTTTACAGATATTAACGATATGAAAGATACATGGATTTTTACTTTGCAAAGCTTCCAATGCACTTTTCCTATCAACAAAACTATAAGTTTCTTTACATTTCTCTATAGCAACCTGGAATCCTTCACATATTGCGTGTAATTCATCCAGCGTGGATGTGTTATTACTAATTCTTTTACAAACTGTTTCATCTGCATAACACTCATCGATAAAATATTCACTTATAAAAACACCACATCCAGCTTGACCGTTACATAATACTGATCCATCACAGTATATATGTAGCCTACAGTGTTTCGCCTGGGAATACTATTTATTTTCTCTAAAAAGACATTTCGAAAGTAACTGGGATGCCAATCATCTTTTTTTCCCCTCAAGCTGTAAAATATCTTTTGTACTGCATCCTTCCTGTTTTTATTCCCTTCTGTGCGATGTTTTTATCCTTCTGAAAACAATGGCTAAATCCCTTGCATATAATAACACTGTATTCGTTATATTAAGTCATCGTACTCAAGGGATTAATAATAATAAAAAAAATGTATACAAACCGTTAATATTGTTCTGATAATGATGATGATGATGATGATGATGATGATGATGATGATGATGTATGGGTATTTTTGCGCTTTATCAATTAAACTCTTTGAGCGATTATTAAGATGAGTAATAACGCTAAGCAACAAACAGTTAAAAATTATGACATGTAAATAAAGATTTTAACATAAAATTCGACTGAATACTTGAGGAAATACTATGTCCTTTACCGAAAGTTTCAAGAAAGTTTATTCACCCCTCTCAAGACTGAAGTGTTATTTGTGTGTTGCTAAGATTCATACACTTTGACTGTATAAGTGTGCCATCTAGGATCAATAAAGAACAAAGATAAATGTTCACACTTTAGTTCACAGAGGTTCAAGGGGTGATTATTCCTCGAAAGATAATATTCTTGATTCTTTTTCACGCCTTCTATGGATGGAAACTTTGGTCTATAAAGATTCTTCTGGTGAATATCCCTGCTAGTGGAAGACTTTTATAGCAACTAAATGGTTAACCTTTGATTAGGTAAGAAAGATACTTTAAAGGGACTTAACTCTTTGAATTTAGGTAAAATATATCTTCAACTATCAGAAATATTTAACTTACGAACCTTTGTGATTCTGAATCCTGGACTTTCATATACAAATTTTAGATACAACGTCAGATACAAACTAGAGGGGATATACTTTTATCATTCTCGATGTCACTAATTCACAAGCAGAGACAACTGAAAAAAACCCCACGAACATAAGCATAGCTGTATTTTCGCAATACACAACTCTTGAAAATATATGACATTTTAAAATTCCATGCTGCTTCATACGTTTTGCCTACCTTGTTTGTGTGTGTGTGCACGTGGATAAGGGGGGAGGGAATATGCATATGTATGTGCAAACCTTTGTTCTAATCCTTTCACTATGGGACGACACTTTTAATATGTTATTCGGTTAACGACAGACCATTTTATTCAGCACCTAAGGGTTAAAGAGACCTTTCACGCCGACATACAATGGGAAACGTGTGTGTGTGTGTCGGCGCTCAGTCCCAAATTCCAGAGCAACAATGTCAATCATCAGTTTGTGTGTGGACGACGGTGTGGATGGACGGTAACCTCCCCCGAGGCGCTCGCTAAACCCAAGCTATAGTACTTCCCTGCTTTAGCTGTTACCAGAAGCTAGTATACACAAACGTAACTTGCATCTACCTCTCTCATAAAGCCACATTGGTGAGTAAATACATTGGTAGATAAACATAGATAACTTTAGTACGATTATCAGAGTAGATGATGATAATTAAGACAAAAAGAGAGAGATATTAGATTATGTTAATTTATGTCACAAAAATGATTCGTGTCAACTAATACACCATTTCAACTTTCAATCGTTTGAAAAGGTATGAATTTATATATGGTCAGTTATGGGATTGTGGGATTGTATGTCATGGTTTTGTTTTTGTAATTATATATATTTTCTTCCATGTTTATTGGGATGTTATGTATTTGGGCAAATTTCTACTGTTGTTAATTGTAAGTTATTCATAATTGTGTTGTGATTTCTGTTTTCAATATTTTATTAATTATTTTCTTTCTTGGAATTTATCTTCTCTTTGGTATCTAAACAGAACCGATAGACCGTTTCATTTTGAGAATTTTATGGGAAATTTAAATGATTTTTTTAATTTGTTCACTTTTAGGAATTTTTTTCTTGTAATATTTGTTTTAAATTTTCAATGGGTTTTGTACTTTCTTGAGAGATGGATTTTAGGTTAGTTTGGGAACCTACTGTACACGCTATGGAAGATTTTACAGTGTGTATTAAGTTTCGTTCTTACTGGTGTATTTTCTGCTCTTAAGGATTCCTCAGTTATATGAAATTTGGCGTTTCTTGGATTTTTGTTTTTTTTAATATTCCGAGATTTTTTTTTTGAGGGGGGGGGGTTGTTATGTGATGTCTTATTATTTTTACATTGTTTTGGGATTTTCTTTAGGGAATTTTAGGCTAAATCTACAGTTTAAGGAATGATTAATCTAAAAATTTGAATTTTCTTTTAGATTTGTATCAATATTTTGGTATTTTATGTTGTTTTTCGGATTTTGTCAGTTTGTCGATTTTCTTTATAGAATGAAGTGTTGGAGAAAATGGCTGGTTCCTGTTGAATGGAGTGCCAAATATGCCCAGTTAATGTGAAGGTTTTTATGGAATAAAATGTAACACATTCCGACATATTTTGAGAGTTTTACGGTGAATTTTCATTGGATCACCAGATTCCTTTCCCCCTTCCCAACTTATCTTACGAAAAGATTAACCACCATACTATTAACCTAACCTAGCTTAACTTAACCTAACCTATAGAAACTAACCTAACTTAACCTAACTGAATATAACTAACCAATCGCTAGCTTAACCTAACATAACCTAACCAGACCTATCGAAACGTAAAAAAAAAAAAGAAAAAAGAAAAAAAAAGGGTTATTTCTCTGAACATCCAGGCTCTCGTTTTCAATTAATGAATAATAAAATAAAAAGTGCTATTGCTGTTTTTTTTTACATTACAACAAACATCCCCAAAAATATTCTGCCCCCTCCCACCAAAAAAAAAAAGTGGCAACCCTTTCCTTAACTTTAACCAACAATTGTAAACATCACCTAGCAGGAACAACGATGATACTTACAATGTTTTTAGGTAACACCAAAATTTATAAAGATACTTGTCCGTTGTCTCATAATAAGAGTAGCAGAAATAGTACTCACCATGGCCTGGTGGTAGAGGAAGCCTTGGCGTCACCCGTCATGTCCTGGGCCAGGGACCATCCTGTCTGAAACAACATTCATGAGTGAGGCCACAATTCTGCTTCAATTAGTCTAATTATATACAAATGTATTGATATTTAAATCAATATTCTATTCAGTAACACAAGGGATGGTGGATATTTCCATCCATGAACTTGACACAATGAAGTACCAGAAGTCATAATGGTCGGAACCCAAAGAGTAACTCACTAAAACAAACTACATGAGCGATGCCAAATTATGATGGATGTCAGTAATCTGACATCCGATCCATCACTAATGCCAAATACTTGTACAGTATGTCCTTATATCACTCATAGTCCTGCCCACTGACAGGTTTCAGTCATTATTCTAGGTTATAATGCTTTAATATGCTTTATGTGAAAGCCCATTGTTGTTAAGTAATATTAACCAAGAGTTTCCCACATAGGCTACCAGCTTTCTAACTATTTATGGTATCTGCTGAAAACAACTTCTTCCCCAAGTCGAGAAAACCTGCAAATTAGTCACACAGGTGAAGATTCGGAAAAGTCAACCACAGAACTCTATATTGATTTGTATACAAGAAGATAAAGCAAGAAAATAAGAATACTTTAATCTATATCGTTTTTGTCGGAAATTTATATTTATTTATTTATTTTTTTTAACTTTTCTATTTAATTTAAAGGACTGCAATTTTGATCACACAACGTGGGCAGGGGTTTCAAGTAGAGGGAAACTGTGGGATAAAAACATGAAAAAAAAACTGACAAAACTTAACTTAAATATTAAAGAAAACTTCATATAGTCTACTTTTTGAGAACAAGGTTTTATGTTAAGGAGTCGAGTTAGGAAACATTTGAAGAGATGAAAAGTTCTTCAGTTTATCAAGAAATTGGTGGAGAAAATAATTTTCTGCCAAGAACTAAACTTAACTACTCTCAAATATCAATATATACCATTATGTCTAACTTAACCTAACCAGGCATTGAACCTCTACCTCCAGAATCATCTGATATACCTAGAAAAAGTGGGATCACCTGAAGAATCATCGCCCCAGCTTATTTAACCTAAAGATTAAACCACCCTAAAACTATTTTGGGAGGATGAGGTTAGATTAGGATATGTTAGGTTAGATTTAGGTTAGGATAGAATAGGTTTAGGTTAGGTTAAGTTAGCATTAAGGTAGTTGATCTTCAGGTGAAATACGCTGGGGCGATGATTCTTCAGGTGATCCAAAAAATGCAACACAGAGAGACGAAGATGATTCCTGAACTATGTCATCTTTATTATCTAAGTCGACTGAGGGCCCAAGTACTAACAACTCTTCACACAAGGCACAACACCAACACGAGAGGATATAACTACAAGCTTGCCAAGTTATCGCGCAGATTGAATATAAGAAAATATTTTTTTACACACAGAGGGTGGTCGACCTGTGGAAAGGTCTACCAGCCCAAACTGTGGAATCAAGAACCATATTGGGCATCAAAAAAGCCATAGACAAAATTATAAAGAAAAATAGAAGGATCCTACACAGACTACTGGCCTCCTTCCCTCGGTATGGTTACATCTAGTGAGTGGCCATTAGGTAAATAAGGCAAATATAGAGTTCCATGGTTGTTGACCTTTACAAAATCTTAACCCTCACAGGAATTGCATGTTTAATTTTTAAAAAATATTTCAGTATAAATAATTGTCATGCGTCCGTCTTGTCTGTCCATTAACAATGTTTGTTTCTTTACAAACATACGAAAGATGATAACAAATTCAGTGACTGGTACCACTATCAAGGAATGATTGAAAAAAGGTTAGGCCCATGGGCGACCAGACACTAATACAATAAGCTCCAGTGCACCGAGGCATGACTTTGAATGTGAACATGTCTGCTACATCTTTCGCATTTGTAGAAATGTTACAGTTTGAGCAACACTTAAACATGAAATTTTGCTTTAAGCTTGGCCAGACGGCGACATCAACACACAACATGTTGTAAGGGATTAATGCAGATGCCGCTTATTCTCAATTTAATCTGCATAAACTGTTACAAGCATGATGTGTGTTTCTGTCACCGTCCAACCCGATTGCTGACAGACTTGGAAATTTTCATCAGCTCGCTAATACAGTATATAGGTATTATTGCAGTTTCGTACAACCGCGGAATATTTGCATTTTTTTTACCAATCGATAGACTGAATGATTATGCAACTTTTTTTCTTCTATATACTACCCTGGGAAATGACTTATATATGCCGGGGGAGGTCTAGGAGGCGGAGCTACACCGGTTAGGTTAGGTTAGGTCACTTTTAGGTCATAGAAAAAAAGCGTCTCAGTATTGTCTGAACTATTGACTGCAAAGATAACATTCTCGAGATTTGGTGGTTGTCCCAAACAGTAAATTTACCTAAAATTAATGGTAAAGTTGTTTGGTTACGTTAGCTTTCCTTAATTCGATGCTAAAAAATATGCAAGGTGCCCTACCAAACTATTCACTTGTATTAAACAGCTTATATTTGATGCGAAATTTTTTTTAAATCCAGTTTACAATATGTCTTCTTTCACTCCACCAGCTGACAATGTAAACATAGGCAGGGAGGGATTGATTAGCTTCACAAAGGTTAAAAGTATTCAAATACTACTTGACGAATCATTCCTAAATAAGATAATGTTTGATTCGTATTTAAAACAATTTTTATTATTTTTAGGAAACATCTACAGTCCTTTATTATGCTTTCACTGCCAGCGGGTGGACCGAGGCGCCATATTGTAAATAAACTGCCAAAATTTGCTTATTATTCATTTAACTATGACAATTTATCTATGTTTTCCGCCAAGGCCTTGTGGAAAGTTATAAGCATTTTTTGTGGAGTGATTGGTAAGAGTTTTTTAGGGGTATAAGGTAATGTTATATAGTTGTAGAAGTTGGTTGTGTTATAAGCCGAGTCAGCCCCAGTCCTCACCGTACCACTCACTGTACATCCTCATATTTAACACATTAACCTCAACAAATATAACTCGCTTTGGCCACCACTTACCTCTTAGTTTTATTTTCCCATCAGCAACGATTAAACACTATAACACTTCACTGTGGCAGTTGTTAACTCAACGACAGTAGTAAACAAACTGACTCACCGTTCGACCGTCGCTGTTCATGACACTGATTCACAAAACACCTCAAAGCAGGTGTCGGAGCTTCAGGGGACTCAATGAACCTGTCTCATTACTGTGAGAAGACTTCGATTGTCTCTCTCTCTCTTTTTTAATTTTCCAAGTACCTGATTCGTAGATATAGAATCCATGTGGCCCACTGAGTTGAGGGAGGGTCACTCATGTGGCCCACTGAGTTGAGGGAGATTCACTCATGTGGCCCACTGAGTTGAGGGAGGGTCACTCATGTGGCCCACTGAGATGAGGGAGGGTCATTCCATACATTCACGATAAAGAAATATAGTAACCAAATATTATTTTCTACAGTATTGGTCTCATAAATATATGTTTTTATTATAATTTAATCTTGTTCTCACATTAGTGATTTGTGTATAAAGCCGCCAACCATGATCAGTTCCACCTGTTGGGATGGGACATTCCCACCGTGTTGGCTCACTGTACTTATTTTTTTAATACAGATTGAAGCCCCCATATCCGGAAGCTCCCAAAAGACGGCATTGTTTTCGGAAATTCCTTTACCCCGGCAAACCTCTTAAAGAACAGTGTGATCGGATGATGACGTGAACGTAAATTCTATTACCCAGCAAACCTCCCATTGAGCTGCATCATCGCGTAGTTTCGCTTGTTGGCCGCAAATGTTTTGGTGACGTGCCAATCGCTCCCACGTTTGTTTGATGTCACAGCTGAGGGTGACGGTGTTATTATTTAAGTGTTGCACTTTTATTTGACCCAATACATTATACATATAACATAAACTCTGTACTAGTTTGTATTTTTCTACACCTAAAACACTTTGTCATGGGGTCGATGTTTTCCGAGCAATGTTACCTGACGTGTTTCTGAGAATGAATAAACATATACGATTTCAAATGATGTGAATCCTTCCAGGCTTCAGATATTACATGACTTGGAGTGGATGTCATACATGGATACCAACGCCATGCCAGTTATCAACAAGATCTTACATCCAATGGAGCGAAGAATTATTGGGAAGACATGGCAAGATGTGAGAGGTACTATAATACCCTTCACAACGAGGGTATACGTGACGCTTAGACAGCATGGCGAACTGGGGTGAGCGAACCCACAACGTCACGATGAGATAGGCGCCATGAAACCACTGTGCCACACTGAAACTTCTCAACCACAATACAATTAACATATCAGCAACATGGTAGATCCCATGTAGATTAATATATTGTATATTGCTGTAGCTGTTCACTCATACTATCAAGTAATATTTGCTTAGTCACTCTTCATAAATCAGTGTTATTGTAATCATCAGTCAGCGGCTTGGTAACATATCCCTTGTTTCTACCCAGTTTATCATACAAGGACGACTCCCTCCCCCAATCGTACCTCCACCTCTAGCTGTTGCTGATATAGGGAACAGACTTATGGTGATACACTGTGGATCATATCAAAACATTTCGTCTAGCGTTCCAAATTGTAGCGATGAGAAATCTAACGATACTTTTTTGGGGGGGACTTTATAAATACAAGTATACAAAAGAAACGCGACCTACTGTAAATAACGGTGATATCATAAATTCAGCTCCGAGGGGGTTCTATTATTGCCAGATGTGGGAACTTCAACATTCATGTAAATTATCGTTCCCTCTGTGTGTGTGTGTGTGTGTACGTAAATAAAATAAACCTCATATTCACAAATTTTACATATTTTTACTTACTAAAGTAATCAAACACAATTATTACATTAACTATTAATGACCTACAAACCAACACGTCAGTCGGTAATAAATATTCTTAATACAATTTCCTTTGATGTGTCTTGAATATTAAAGCTACCCGTTGCTATGAACCCATTTTCTTTGTTCCAGGTCTTAATCCATTCACATATATACTTTAATATTTATAGTACTGCTGCTGTGTATTAATATTGGAGGATTGCGAAATTAAACACCATAAATAAAGAACTAAGTGACACATATCACCACTTTGAGAACAATAACGTTGATGTAGTAATGTGCTTCAATAACTGATGTGTAAGTGCCTGTTCTAGATTAGTATACACAGTAGTCTTATTAGCATATACACTAGTCTTATTAGCATATACATTAGACTTATTAGTATATCCAGATACAAATATGTTACATTACTAAATCTTTGCACCTCGTTGTATTAGAGGTTATTGATTACGAAAAAATCACATCTTGCATTTTTAACACGATGTGTCCCCCTCAAAAAGAAAACACTAATAATAATAACAATAATAATAATAATAATAATATTTGCCACTAAGTCCTTCGAATTGGCAGTTTGCCTTATATTCCAAAGCACATGCCTGTAAGGAGGTCAGAAATCGGCTTTACCGACTTCTATGAAACTTGATGACAACATAGTGTGGGATCCCTCAGATGTTTGTAGCCACTTTTTTTTTCAAATCGGGTAAACCAAAATTAAAATAATAAAATAATTAACGGAAATGTGGCATTGGACACTGTCAGTTGCCAACGAAGTTATCCAACCACCATCTAAGGGAGTTTTGTCGGGTGTAAAGACGCCAGATCCACAAATTACATTCGTTTAATAATGTTATTTTTGTCGACTTAATATCAACGCTTTTCATACCTCACCTGCCCTCCCCCACCTGACTTCAATCAGTAGTCTGGTAATGATTCACAAGGAACCGTCACAATGTTTTACAGGCAGACAAGAAATATATATCAGTGTATTTTCATCATACAAGATTAAAATTTTGATGTCTAATGTTAATTATAATTAAATACATTCATTATATATATTTAATGGGTCATGAAAGATGTAAAAGGACTGTAGCAGCTAGAAGAGTCTTAAACTGTACCAAACTTAAGTCTATGCATGTTTGAATGTACAGTACAGTCACTCAAATAAATTATCTCTACTTGGGGTGATCCGTGAAATTCAGAATGAACACTATGACTCCTGTTATCTCGATAGGGTTGTCAAAATCCTTCGTCCGTTCTGTTATATCTTTTTAAGACAATTTTCTAGAGATAGTTTTTCGAGTGACTGTTACGAGAGTATAACTTTACCATTACTACAAACAAATAAATCAGTAAATTAGCATAGATAAAAATGTATTTTCTGTATGTGGGAACGTCAATTTATTTCTCTGATCACACAAGGAATTTATTCTGTAGTGTTTCAGTTTATTTCCAGTTAATTTTTGTATCATATATTTGTATATTTACATATAATTCAAGTTTATTTGTGTTTATATACAATTATTTCCCAGACTCAAAGACGTTAATGTAATAAATTCTCACTGTAGACATCGTACAGATTTAATTTATTATACATATCATTAAAAAAATATTAATCCTAACGTATGATTTCCATTTTTGTTCCTTCCATAGATGCTGTGTGTGGGCGTGGTGGTGGGCGTGGTGATGGTGTTAGGAGGAACTATCGCCCTGGATGAGAAGCTTTACCAGAGATATAAGAACAATGCTGCCACTGGTTCTATCGCGGTGGTGAAGGAAGTATGTATTCTGAACTAATGTTCAATATGGGCTCGTTAAATAAATGTTTATCTAAGTAAATAATCTAAATTAGTAAATGTTTGCTAAATATGTTTCTAATTATATAAATGCTTATATAAGGTAATCCTTATTGTTGTAGTTAATATTTTAATTATTAGTGTTTTCTTAAAAGGGGGCTCATTTATATACATTATAATTAACCAACTCGTCACCCAGTTCTCTTCTCGCCTGCACTGCGGACTGGCCTCTATGCAGCTCTCCGGTGAGGGGTACAATCTGAAGACCACAGCTGAGGATAAGTATGAGTGTACAATCTTCAGTGTGGTGGACGGTGTACTCAATGACACTGACAACAACTTCTACTGTGGTGGTAAGTGGTGGTAGTGGCTAGGGTGTGGTGGTGGTATACACTGATACAATGTTTACTGCACATAGTGAAGATATACTGTACAAAAAGTATACTTAGTTTAGGTTTCACGTAGATCCACAAAGGAAACGTGGATAAGATAAATCTTGATAAAATCACACAGGAGAAAGGGTAACAAAGGAGCACCTTAGCTTTCGGGATTGGAGACGAACCTTGGGATTGGAGACGAACTAGGAAACAGTGATCATAAAGCCATATATTTTAACATAATATGGGATGGCAGGAAGAAGGAAAATTCGGCCTTGATCCCGGATTTTAGGAAGGCTAATTACGGTAGCTTAAGGAGAGACCTAAGGGATGACCCTATGGTCAAAAGATTAATCCCCCCCACACCTCTGGAAACTGTCAACTTAGGACGGGATAACCCCGAATTTAATTTAGCAGCTACTTATGAACAATTTATTGCGACAATCAATAATGCCCAAAATAAACACATCCCTAAAAGAAAATTCAGATCGATACGGAACCAACCAAAATGGATGAATAATAGACTCTTAGATCTTCTAGGGAAAAAGAAAGGAGTATATAGAAAAGTTAAGAAAGGCGAAAATCACTTACTTGGTTACTATCAGAACCTAACAAGACAGGTAAAAACAGAAATTAGGAAAGCAAAGAGAAATTATGAAATCAAGGTAGCAAACGAATCGAAAAATAACCCCAAAGCTTTTTATCAACTGTATAAATCAAAGGTTAGAGATACAATAGGTCCCCTTAAAACTACGACAGGAGAAATGACTGATGATGAGTTAGAAATGTGTAGTACGTTAAATAGTCATTTTCGCTCCGTATTCACAAATGAAAACCTAGCACAGTTTCCAGAAGTTCATAAGGTATATAACGACAGTATAGAAAATATGTTGATGAATATCAATATTACTAGTAACGATGTGCTTAAAGAAATTAACAAACTGAAGCCTCATAAATCGCCTGGTCCAGACGAGGTATATGCTAGAATATTAAAAGAATGTAGAGATGAGTTGAGTAATCCATTAGCAGTTTTATTTAATAAGTCATTAGAATCTGGCCTAGTGCCAGAAGCTTGGAAACTTGCAAATGTAGTTCCGATTTTCAAAAAGGGTGATAAATCAATTGCATCAAATTACCGTCCCATTAGTCTCACGTCAATCATAGGCAAGTTGCTAGAAGTCAATTATTGCTACAAAAATCAGAAGTCACCTTGAAACATTCAACTTAATTCATTCTTCTCAGCACGGGTTCACCCAGGGACGTTCTTGTCTCACAAATTTGCTTAGCTTTTTCTCAGAAGTATATGAAGCGGTAGATAATGATAAGTCATATGATATAATTTATTTAGATTTCAGTAAAGCATTCGATAGAGTCCCTCATGAGAGATTGATGAGGAAGGTAGAAGCACATGGAATAGGTGGATCATTATTAAAATGGATTAGGTCATGGTTAACTGGTAGGAAACAAAGAGTCAGCATAAATGGGATTAAAGTCAGACTGGGTGGACAAAAGGAGTTCCCAGGACTGTATTAGGCCCTCTGCTGTTTGTTATATTCATTAATGATCTTGATTTAGGCATAACTAGTAGGATTAGTAAATTTGCAGATGATACCAAATGGGAGAGTGATAAATTCAGACAGTGACTTTGAACACCTTCAAAGAGATCTAGATACCTTACATGAGTGGTCAGTAAACTGGCAAATGAATTTTAATACTGATAAATGCAAGGTACTACAGATAGGGAAGACGAATACAAACGTTAAGTATAAACTAGGTAACACGGAAATAGAAAATTCAGTTTGTGAAAAAGATTTAGGTGTATTTGTTAGCAACGACTTGAAACCTAGAAAACAATGTATTAGCGTTCGCAACAAGGCAAACAGGATTCTTGGGTTCATATCTAGGTCTGTGAGTAACAGAACTGCTGACGTTATCTTGAAATTTTACCTAGCATTAGTAGCTACACATGGATTATGTGTTCAGTTCTGGCAGTCCTTATTATAGAATGGACAGTAGATTCTTTGGAGAGAGTACAAAGAAGAATGACAAAAATGATCCATATTATTAGAAACCTTCCATATGAAGAAAGACTGAAAAGCTTAGGGCTATATCTGCTGAGAGGCGTAGAGTTAGGGGGGGAGATATGATAGAGGTGTACAAGTGGGTAAGTGGGATTAACAAGGGTAAAATGGAAGATGTTCTGAAGCTCAGTAATAACGAAATAACTAGAACAAAATGGCTTTAAATTAGATAAATTCCGATTCAGAAAGGATATAGGCAAGCACTGGTTTGGTAATAGAGTTGTGGATATGTGGAATAGGCTACCGAGTGCTATAGTAGGATCGGGGACGCTCGGGAGCTTCAAGACGAAGTTGGATAGGCACATGGAAGTGCTGGGATGGGTGTGAAAGGGATCTGCCCTGCATGGGCCAGTCGGCCTCCTGCAGTATCCCACTTTCTTATGTTCTTATGTTCTTATGTTCTTATGTTTATTCAAGACATCCTCAGAGGCAAATATATATATTTGCTCTATGTATATTTTTTATAACCCAGCGATATCTATGTATATTATTTGTATACCTGTACTCTCTCTCTCTCAATACAATATAAATCGTTTCACAGTGTGTAAGGAAGTGGGTGAGTCCTGTACAGAAGACTGGGAGTGTTTCGTCCTTACGGAGGGCGCGACCTGTGTCCTGGGCACCTGCGACTGTGACCTCGGCTATGACCCCACTGATGGAGTCTGTGAAGTAGGTCAGTGGACGTATCCCTTAAACAAGTATCCTAAAAATAGTATCCTTTAAGCACGTATCATTAGTGAAACGTGTTATTAGTTTTTAGGTCTAGGATAGATGCCTGCTCTCTCTCTCGGTAATGTAACTCTCGAGGTTTCACACCAATGGCCAAATTTGTTATGGTTTGTGAGATCAATAACCAGTTTCACAGTTGTTTGTGTATGCTATAAACGCTTAGTTTCACCAAAGAACGTTATACAGTGAACTCTCCATAATAACGGACTCATCTCCATATAATCCGTTAGATGAAGTATCACATCTAATGTACCTTCGATATAGCGGACTTATCTCTCCATATCGTCCGTTAAATAGAGGTTTCATTGTATTTTAGTTAGTGTCATCTCTTCCTCGCCCAACAGCGCCAGCGGCCTTAGGAGAGGACTGCGAGGCGGATGTGCAGTGTCTGGCCACGTCAAAGGGAAGCGAATGTGACCCGACCAATAAGTGTGCTTGTGCTCAGCACTTCTACCCCAACGCTACAGGCAACGGTTGTTTGATTGGTGAGGATATTTTGGCCAAGTTCATTAAGCTATTTACTGATCTTATTCATTGACTTTACTTCCACACGTAGAATGAGGGGCGATATGATCTAGGTGTATAAATGGAAGTTAGGGCTAAACAAAGGTGATATAACAAAGGATTCAAACTATCCAACCAGGAGCGAACTCGTAACAATGGTTTTAAATGAGAAAAATTTAGATTTAGGCGCACGATAGGTAAACATTGGCTTGTAAATAGAGTAGTGGATGAGTGGAACAAGTTACCAAACATCATCATTAACTTGAATGCGCTGGATAGCTTCAAACATAGGTTGGATGGATATATGAGTGATAGGGGTTGGGTGTAAATGGGACTGCCCATTATGGCCCACTGCAATTTCCTCCATTGTTATGTTCTTAACTCACTCAATCTTCCCTTAATGCACTCAACCTGCCTTTAACTCCCTAATCTTCTCCTACCTCATTAACCTTCCCCTAACTCATTAACCTTCCCCTAACTCATTAACCTTCCCCTAACTCACTAACCTTCCCCTAACTCATTAACCTTCGTCTAACACATTAACCTTCCCCTAACTCACTAACCTTCCCCTAACTCATTAACCTTCGTCTAACTCATTAACCTTCGTCTAACTCATTAACCTTCGTCTAACTCATTAACCTTCGTCTAACTCATTAACCTTCGTCTAACCAGATTATGCTGCCTATGGATTCGTCGCCTACAATGGACGATGGGTCTTTCACCTCCCTGGGCTTCTTCCAATCTCCTGGGATCTGTCGTTCGTGTTGTGTGATAGCCTCTTCTCTACCATGTTTAAACCCAGAGATGCCAGTGAGTGGGGCTGGATGGATCAGAAGACGGGGTCTGTCTTGAACACATTTGCCATGTTCCCCATCAATGACCGAGACCAAGAAGGAGTGCTGATGTGGAATGATGGAACGGGTGAGTGCTGGGCGGGAGAGGTTAGCTTTGTTTAAGAGAAATAAGATTATATAAGGAAAGAAGTTAATAACTCGGAAATCGGAGAGAGAGAAGGGGAGGTAGAAGGAAGTGGGCTGACCGCCTTGCTACTGGCTGGCTAAGCTAATAGTGTGTTAAAGCTATGACTTGGACTAGTTATTGTTTGTGATATTTCTTGAAGCTCATTTACCTGTTGGTTCTCCTCTTTTGACGGCACTGGCACTAGACAGCCTACCCCATTCCACTTAAAGTTATTGTGAGGGGTCATCTTTCATATTCCGCCGACCCTACTGGCGGATGCTGGTCTAGGGAGATTGTCTATTGCCCGGCCGTATAGATCGGGAGTGATAATGAACTTCTTAAGGTTTGGTAACTTTGGGGAACCATTTAGGGGAGGTGAGGGAGACAGAGAGGGTAGGTAAGAGGGAGAATAATAACTTACCTCTATTATTTCTTCTGTTTCTCGGTATCAGCAGTGGGAGGTGAGAACTATCTCAAGTGGTCTTTTGGCAGCCCCACGGCATCGAATACTCCTATTACGAACTGTGTAGGAATGGTGCCGAGTATTCTGTTTGTTTCTCCTGAGTCCATAAACTTTGGTATTTGTGGTCTGATACTTCCCCTTGCATCTACGTTCTGTGAGGCGGATTTCTGAGGGAGAGAGAAAGAGAAACACAAAAAGATACAGTTAAAGAGAGAGAGAGAGGGAGAGAGAGAGAGAGAGAGAGAGAGAGAGAGAGAGAGTGTGTTGTGTGGAGGGAAGAGAATATATGATGTGTAGGGAGATACAGAGAGGAAGAGAGAAACAGACAGACAGAGACAGACAAACAGTGAGACAGACAGGCAGACAGACATAACTGTGTACAGAAACAGAAAGTTGTTTACTTGTAGATAAAGAAAAGTGTGTAGGAAAAGACAGGTGAGAAAAAAACAGGCCGATAGACAGAGATACAGAGAGAGAAACAGACAGACAAAGATACAGAGAAAGATAGAAGGGGACAGAGAGAGAGACAGAGGAACAGCGAGAGAGACAGAGAGATAGAGAGAGAGAGAGAGAGACAGAGGAACAGAGTGAGAGAGACAGATGGACAAAGAGAGACAGATGAACAGGAAGATAGAGGCAGAGCTACAGAGAGAGAGAGAGAACAGAGAGATTGAGCGAGACAGAGAGAGAGAGAGAGAGAGAGAGAGAGAGAGAGAGAGAGAGAGAGAGAGATGTTTGCAACCACACTCACGTAAATGTCTGCATGGTGTTGTGCGTAGATCAGCTGACATGTAAACAAGTTGCCTTCTACAATATGTCCTCTAGATATGAAGACATACTGTAAGTCATAGCCCTAATGAGTGATTTTTTTTTTTTTGGTAATACCCCTTTTTGCATTACACACCGATAGATTACCACAATAGAATGACAGTCTTCTGTTTAAATATCACCGAGTCAGAAAGTGTGACACCAAATCTGTATACATAGACGTTCCATCAGAATGCTTCGACAGATGTGCAGAGTATACAGTCGACCGCCTGACTCCGATGTGTTGTTCCGGGTGCTCTTGATTCGTCTTTTTGCGCTCCGATATTTAATTTATTATATTGTAAATGTCTCATAAATTGTTGTTTGTTATTATCATCTGCCCTATTGACTTTCATATTATAATAACTTGTCACAGTAGATTCCTTGTTATATTGACTTTAAGTTTCATTTCATTGTTTCGTAATGAACTGAAAAGTTATCGAAGTATAATGCAAAATGTGGAAACATGACATAACTTTATAAGTGTGTTTTAACTTACAAGATTTTACTTATAACCTTCTTCTGTGTGTCATTCTGTTAAGCAAGAAAACTTTATTTTCCTATTTAAAAAAATGTCCTCATCGAAGTTTTTAGACATGAGATTACTTATGACCTTAAGTGTGTTGTGAACTTAAGACTTTACTTCTAAATTTTCTCTAGGCGCTTTGAGCCATCACGTACAGCCTTCTTATGTGTGTTGTAGTGTTAAGACATAACCTTTAACAGTTGGAAGGTACTTTTAAGTGTGCTGTAGCGTTAAGACATATTCTATAATAATTTTAAAGTGGTTTTAAGTGTGCTGTAGTGCTAAGACATATTCTTTAGATATGTCTATGGCTTATAGACAAATCTAGACCAGTGGTTCCCAATCTTTTTCACTCCATTCCCTCCTTGGGGAACCTCCAAAATCCCTGTGGACGCCTTTTCATTTTTCACCAAAATTCATTAAAAGTAAAGATGAAATATATAAGATTGTGATCAAGAGAAGAAAAGAACATATTATTGTCAACTCTACCCAATAATATGCCCAAGACATAACCATCAATAACTATAACACTTTAACTGTATAACATAACTATAACACTTTAACTGTATAACATAACTATAACACTTTAACTGTACAACATAACTATAACACTTTAACTGTATAACATAACTATAACACTTTAAATGTATAACATAACTATAACACTTTAACTGTATAACATAACTGTTACCGCCACAGTAGGATATGTAGGATAAAGTAGAAGAGAGAGAGAAACAGAGGGATAGGGAGAGAGAAAAGGGGAGACAGAATGTTGACAGCGAACTTTGCTGAGGTGTTAAATGTGAAACAGATGGTCCTGGCCTTGGGCTGACTCGCTCCCTGTGGGGTTCAGAAGATAGTCTCTAGCCGTCCAGTGAGCTAACAAGTCAGGGAGCTAATAAGTCCTACATTAGACCCGAAGCACGTAAGTTTTATATGGTTTAACACCGCCACTCCACTCAAATATATCATATGTTGTTGTTAATAGTGAAGGAACGTACAGGTGAATTAATTATCTCATATGTAACATATGTAATTTGTACTCTGCAGGTTTTGACCGAATAAAGAACAATCGAGTCCTACGTGCAAGGGTCTCATTATTCCACAGTCGCTCATTGGGCGGCTACAACAACCATAACATAACTATTACCACAGTAATGATAACATTTGAAGTCATCCAGTAAATAATTTAGAAGTCAAATGTAAAGAAAGAAGATAAATTCCACCCTGCCAAGTGGGAATTAATAACTAAACCTTATTTATTACAGGTTGTCACAAATTTTCTATAAAATTTCCAACCTCTCATAGCCCTACGTGGACCCCCTGAAATATTGGTGTGCATCCCTAGGGGGTCCAGTGACCCCAGTTTGGGAACCAATGTTTTAGACATTCTAAGATGAATTGGTGTTTAAGACGTATTAAATGTCTTCAAGTGTCTTAGGGAATAAATTTATATATTTTAAGTGTTTTGTGAGCTAATTTATGTCTCTAGTGTCTTCGAATTGTACATGTCTTTTAAAGTGGCTCGGTGACTTAGTTTATTTTTTGTATATTGTTAGTGTTTTGGTGACTTGTCTTCTAATTGTCTTGGGACTTACTTTTTGTCTTTTAAGTGTCTTGGGGATTTAATTTATGTCTTTAAGTGTCTTAGAAACTTACTTTAAGCCTTAAGTGTCTTGGGGAACTTTAGACATATAACACGGCATTTTTAAGTGTGTCGAGAAAGGTGACACATAACCCTTTGAGTTTCTCACACACTGCAAATACCCGAGACGTTTTTGGTGACCTCCATCGTGACCTGACCTTCTTATCAGGCTTGGTATTGATTGATAAGTTCTATATTATTATGTAACTATATAACAATGTAATAGCTATGGCATTTATATGTACTTACTTCCTCACACACACACACACACACACACACACACCCCCACACACACACACACACACACACACACACACACTACTTCTACTTTGCTGTCACTCGAAATCGAGTATGACGATCATCCAGCTATGATACAATTATACGAGTTATTAAGGATGTCACCTTCATTGGTGAGTTCCGAGGTGACTAAAGAGACCGATATGGTACCGGCAGGGAGTTGCACGTGTGGAGGGCTATATCTAGTGCGGGAGGGGCGGCGGCAGCGTCTTTTCGGTGCTGGCGCTTGTGTGCTTCGGCATGCAGTCGGGCTAACTCGAAAGTATTGACATCTTCTTGTGTGGTACTCCTCCAAGCATTACTGTGTGAAGTCTTAAAACTATCCTTTTACCGTTTCAGTTGCCTGTCGGAGTTACGTTTACTATTCGTTAGGTGACTGTAAAGTAGCTGCTTTGACAGTCTACTGTCGTCCATGTGGGTAACATGGCCAGTCCATCATAGCTGTTTATGGATAATGGTAGCCTCAATTCTCTTACAGCTGATGTCAGAGAGAATACTGGCATTTGTTTTCTTGTCTTCCCAGAAAACTCGGAGGACCAAACATAGACTATGCTGGTGAAAGTTTTCAAGTGCCTTGAGGTGCGTCCTGTATGTGACCCATGTCTCGCTGCCATATAGCAGGGTGGGGAGGACCACTGCTCGATATACGTGCAACTTTGTAGAAAATTTCAGCTCTCTACAGCTGAAGACACGAGTATGGAGTCTGCCAAAGGCTTGAGATGCACATCTGAACTGATGTTGAATCTCTTCATCGATGTCTACGGTGGTGGACAGGTGGGAGCTGAGATACCGAAAATGGGTAACATTAGAGAGGGTAGTACCATTAAGCTGGATGGATGGTGGAGGTGTGGCTGATCTAGGAGCAGGCTGAAAGAGAATCTGAGTCTTAATTACATTCACCTCAAGGCCGAAGTGTGTATATGCATCTGCATAGGTGCTCAGGATCTCTTGTAGGTCACGTTCAGTGTGAGCGACAAGATTCATCCGACACTCGATGTCCACCCTGTCGGCTAAATTGCCACTGGCACGAGTAAGGAAGACAGCCAAGAAAATGAAAAGGAGAGTTGGTGCCAGTACACATCCTTGTTTCACCCCCGTTTGGATGGGGGAAGAACTCAGACTGGGTGCCATTGTGTAGGACACTGCCATTCATGCCATCGTGGAGTTGTCTCACAATGGCAATGAATTTTGGTATGCAGCCAAAACGGCTGAGGGTCCATCAGAGGGCTTCCCTGTTGACTGAGTCGAAGGCCTTGGTTAGGTCTATGAAGGTCACGAACAGGTCAAGAAACTGTTCTCTGCACTTTTCCTGTATTTGGCGGGCAGCAAAGATCATGTCAGTGGTGCTACATAATGGTCTAAGACCGCATTGAGATTCTGGGAGGGAGTTTTCCGCTTCAGAAAGAAGTCTGTTTGGGAGGACTCGGGCGATAATCTTGCTAGCTACGGACAGCAGTGAGATTCCGCGGTAGTTGCCACAGTCTGACAGGTCTCCCTTGTCCTTATAAATATTGGCGATGGAGGCGTCTTAAAAGTTCGCACTGGGCCGCTGCTTTATTCTTGTAGCAGGTATCAACTTTGATCCGAGACTGAGGATTGTTCTGGCAGTCAGTTAATGTAGCACGTTTATCCTCGACGAGTACATTGATTTCCAGGTCATTTTCATCAAACCAATCCTGGTGTTTTCTTGCAGTCTGGCCATGGGTCTCTCAGCAGGTTCTTGTCATCACAGTGTCGAGAATATCCCATTCGGTATTGGGATTTTTGTTGTCGGGTTGTTTATCAGGCCATGTTTGAGCGGCTCTCTGAAAACATTTGCTACCACTGGATCCTCCAGACGCTTGGTGTTTAAGTCTTTTCCGGAGGCTTGCTGCCTCCGCCGTTTTGGGGCGACGTGAAGTGAGAGCTTGGCTCTGACGAGCCAATGATCAGCGTCGCAGTGGTCTGAGCCACGCATGGCTCGGGTGATGAGGACAGCTCAGTGATCTCTTTCTCTGACAATGATGTAGTCAATGAGATGCCAGTGATTGGATCGTGGGTGTTGCCACGAACCCTTGAACTTGTCGGCCTGCCTAAACAAGGTATTGGTGATAGTGAGGCTGTGTGCAGCAAACTTGCTGAGGAGGAGTAGGCCGTTGGGATTACACTTGCCTAGTCCATTTCTCTCTATGATTCGCTGCCAGTTCTCAGCATCTCTGCCAACTCTGGCATTGAAGTCACCAAGGAGCACAACCTTATCTTCTCT